ACACTCTCAGCTATAACAATCAAGAAAGTAAACATCAAGTTTAAAATGGAGCTTGTGACATTCAAAACTAAAAAGTAGATTAAGAGTTAGACATGCAGGATTTTCATTTTAATGAGTATGTGTCTGCATGACAGAGAGGAATGTGTTATGGTGGAACACATGACTTTTAATTAAAGCTATATAAGAAAAGAAGAAATATCTGTAATTTATACCTGTAACAGGCTGAGTCACTTACTGTTGAGTGTTTCTTACTATTTGCATTTCATAAGTGAACTAGGAATCGGGGGGACTCATTGAACTGTATCATTGTACAGATATAGTGACAGTCCCTGCATCAAAGAACTTGCAGTCTAAATTGTTAGAAGCGTCTGGTGAATGAGACCAACAGACCTGGACCTACCAAAATTGCAATGTCACAGAAAACACAAAATCGGGCATTGACCATGAAAGTAGGCAATGTCCACCAAATCCAGGGAAAAAAAAAAGAAAAATTACTGAAAATAGAAAATAAGATGTTGGCTCCCCAGAGGGAGCCAGCAGTCCTTATGGCACTGGCTTGGCTGTGCAGCCTGCCAGAGGGGAAGTGGCGGGGAGGGCCTCCAGCAGTTGGTACCGAGGGCCAGGTCTATGTGGTGGACAGCACTCGCAGTCCATCAGTAGCAAGAGGCAGAGCCACTGTGGGCCCTCAAATGATAAGAGGCATGGGGTTGGAGGGCTCTGCCCCGATCAGTCTGTAAAAATGGGAGCCGGCCCTGTGATCTCCCATAAAACCAGGCAGCTGCCTCCTTGTGTTGGGTAGATCCTTACAAATAGGGTAACAGGTGAAGCTAGTAAAGCAAACTTGAACTAAAATATGGTAAGCAAAGGTTTCTACTATACTACACTTGTTGCCATTGTCAGCTGGTATTGATTTGTATCTCTCCTAGCAGAAGTGAGTCTTTGCATGGGGTTTGTCTCTTCAGATGATATGCTTTACAAAGTAGGGATTCAGGTTTGTATTTATTTCCATTGCATAACCTAAAAAGAAGTGACTATCTCTCTCACAATAGGGCCTTGATTTTGATTATTGTAATTAAATATTTATATTGCAGTAAGCTTTAGTTTGCAGGGCTTTTTATGTGTAAAAGCTGTAGCTTTCACCTTAACACTGAACTACGCTAGTTGAACCAGTGGAATAATGTTACTTTTGTTGATCCTGGATGACTGCTGTTACAGAGCTGATAGGTTTGTCCTCCATTGTTTGTAGTCTCCTGACGCACACAATGACTTGCTATTTCAGTATAGATTTCCTGATTTATTCCTAGGTCAAGTTGACAAGCTTAAGTTTATATTTTCCTTTAATTATACTGTGTCACGCAAGGCTACTAGATGATTTATTAAAAAAATCCACAAAAACACAAGTTTATTCTCAGCAAAAATGTATGGTTTTCTCCAATGTTTTTGTTTTAAAAAATGTGGAAAAAACTTTTCATCAGAAACGCTTAACGGAAGGATCCTGACTAATCTGTTGAAAATTTGCCATAGCTTTTCTTAGCTTGTTACACTTTTTTGCTAAAGGGGTAAAAGTGTAATAAAATATGTATCACTAGCTTGCTTTGTTCTTCCCAGGAAAAGTAGAACAGTATTATACAACTTTATATTTATATGTTGTATGGGTGTCTGAGGGACTATTAAGAAAAAACTGTAGAACTCCGTTGGCTGCAATAAAGCTATCCTGCAACCAGATGACATTTCTTCCTGTGCTTACTGAGTTCTGACCATCTGGATTGCAACAGATGTTGCCCCTTGTGCTCAAATACCCATATGTACCATATACACATGTGCATGTATAGAAACTGGTGTGCACATGACTTATTGAGCACTTGATACTACCATATAGTTCAGTGGTTCTCAATCTTGCTAGATTCAAGGCACTCATGGAAAATGCCAACTGTTAGTTTTTACTCTTATTTTTTTTTAATACAGAGAAATAATAAGTAATTCTTCTGTTGCAAAGCACTCAAAGACAACACAACAGGTCAGAATGTTTTTGACACTCTGGATTCCTGTGTGAAATCTCTTGGTTTATCTTGTGAAGCATGTAGATGCTTACGCACCTAAGCACATAGCAAGTGCTAATACCATGCAGTACCCTCAAAAGGATCTTTCAGCACCTCAGCATGCCATAGCACCCTGGCTGAGAATCACTAATATAGTGAAACAAGTCCACAGATAGGAAGTCCATTACACTTGAAGAGAAACTTACTGATTTGTTAATACGTTTCAGAGCTGGCAAAGCAGTATCTGCTTGCTCTGGATAACAATAGACTATCCAGGACACCAGTGCTCATTTGACCTTATAGGCTAGGGACAGACATTACACATAAACTGGTTTAAATGATCAGAAACTGGTTTAAACCTGTAACAGAACAAATGTTCAGTGCACATAAACCAGTCTGAGAATAGCTGAAACCAGTATAAGATGAACCCGGTTGAATGTAGTATCAGACTTGACTGATTTGGCTCAAACCAGTTTATGCAATGTCTGTCTCAGACCCCTTCCTGGTTTAAGATCAGACTCCCCAGCATTCCGACATGCTCTCTGGGCTGGGCAGGGCTCTCTGCTCCACAGCAGGACTGGCCCCTCCTCTCTGCTCCCTGGCTGGAGCTCTCACACAGATTGTGGGCTGCTTCCCCCCTCGCCCTCACCACTCCCTGCTAAGCAGGAATTCCCCCCTCCCCTCTGCCTTGCTAAGGAAGTGTCCATGTATTAGCTAGCAGACCACATGCTGCCCTTGCTGCCACACTGCCCTTGCTGAATCAACAGGCAGAATCAAGAGTAGCTGGTTATGTTCCTCTGTTTTTTCTTAATTGGGTGATAAACACTGTTATCAATTCCCTGCATCACAGTGTCCTGCTAGAGCCTGGCCATGCCCCCCTCAGCTCCATACTGTTGAAGGAAGGGAGGGCTGCTCTAGTGCCCCTCAGCTTCTAGCCTGAACCACTGCAGGCATGTGCCTGCACTTCTGGGCTGTTTGTCCAGTTACAAAACTGATTTAGCCTAGCCAGGTTAGAATAACCTGCAAAGATTGAATCAATTCAGGCTCAGGCTTTTTGAATGTCTGTCCCTAACCATACAGGCTGGATGAAGGTAGAGGCAGTTGTATGCTTACTTGGCCTATGCATACTCTAAAAGGTCAGTGTTAAAGCAAACTGGAGCTACATGCCTTTACCTTGTTCTCAGTGTAGGCATACAACTTGTGTTGGTTTTATTACTCTTAGTCTCTTGATCATAAGCCACAAACTTGTCCTTATGGAATCCCTGCAACCATTATTCTTATGACCTGTTCCAGTATTCTTAGTAAATTTCTCTTGGGTTCAACAGCAACATATGTATTGGGCAGCCTGAAACCCTGAGAAACCAAGCTTTCCTTTTGTTTGTTGTTCAGGTGGGCTGGGTCATATGACAACAGATTTGATGCAATGTAGGTGTACTATTAGTGGCTCAGAAAGGCTTCTTACCAAAGTGCAGATGGCAGAGAAATGTTGTGCAGAGCACCCATCTCTCTGCAAGTAAAACTGAAATATCACCTTGTAAATGGGCCCAATGCCATCCAAACAGATGGTCTGAAGTGTAAGCAGCCAAGCAGTCATTTAGGAGCATAAAATGCATCCACTAAGGACAGGTTTCCAAGCAGAAATGGTTGTTTGTATTGAGCTTCCACACCTGAAGTCAAAGATATATGCTACAACTATTGGTCCAACCTGAACTAGCTTAGAAAACAAATATTGTTCTGCGAATCTAGTTAACAGAAGACATCCTTTAATTTGAAAGATAAGGAAAGGAAAATAAAACACGATCTTCTCTGAAAGGCCCACATAGCCCAAGTGAGAGAACATTTCTAACAGTTACTTTTTTTTTTTTTTCCTGTCAGCTCAGTGAGCAAGTAATTGTCATGCATTCCTCTGACTGCCTTGGACTTCCTGAATAGAAGACTATGCAGTATTATTGCTGATCAATTAGCTCGTGGCTGCTATATCTGATGGTATTAGGTCAAATCCTATATGCTAATCAAGCTCCCAATAATATATCTTCTGATCTATACAGGTCAATGTTCCTGTATGGTAGCTGCATTCATATGTGTATAGAAGCTGAGTCTTTTTTCGTAAGGAAATTGACCTTTGTAAACAATAAGGACTACAAGAATTTTGCTAAGTAAATTTGTATTGACTATATATGGTTCTGAGTAAGGACTGCAGGATTTGTCTGAATAACTATAATGAATGGATAACTCTTTTTTCCTTGGATTAACTTTTTCTTCCTCTTTAGTAGAAACTTTCCCTAACCCAAAAAGTAGAGAATGTTATTTCAGATGATGATCAAGAGGAAAAAATGTCATGTCTTTTACTGTTTGAACAATTCCCTTGCCCCTCCCACTAATAGAAACCAAAGGAATATTCTTATTTGTCTGCTGAATAAATCTGTATACTTGACAGTTCTGGAAGAAGAGAAATATAGTAACTTGGTAGAAAGTGTGTTTGCAGGTATTACTCAAAGCAAAGGCTCCAATTGCAGTCTAAGCTTTATATAAGCTTCCATTGTTAAGCTCTATAACTGGCTCCTTGCAGTTCAATCTTAGCAAATAAAGAATGAAATCATGTATTCATCTGGCTCAAATCCACCTAACAAGATTTTGTGGAACAAAAATGAAATCGGACCTTGCAGTTGGTGAAATATCAGCTGGAGGAAAAATATGCTAGAAACAGCACATTTCCTAACCTCTTTGCTGCAGCTGAACAAGCTTTAAGAGGTATTAGGGGGCATTAACTTCCATGGTGAGAGGGGTAAGAAAATGACTAGCTGGCTAACCTTAATATAGCTTGCAGCAAAATATTCTTCCTAGAAATAGGACAGTCAGATTACAGCCAGGAAGGTGATTTGCATTCAGTGGGACTGCCCCTAAATTCCTCCCCATTTATGCTGTCCTTGTGGCATCATTTGTTGACAACACTGGTCATTTGTTGTAAACTCTGCATTTGATCTTCTGGCTTTAAGCAATTGCACTACAGAAAAGGATTGCGAGAGACTAAGGACTGTAATTGTTTATAATGAGAAAGGAAGCATGCATTCAAACAGATTCCAGTCCTGGGAGCTTATATAACAGTGGGTTAATAAGAACTGTCTAGCTTACTTTATTAATTATGGATAATCTGCTGCATAAACCTTTCTTCTCCTGTTCCATAAAGCTTCCTCTTCATGCAATTGGGGACCTTGTATCAACACTGAGAGAAAAGAGGACTCGAGAAAAGGTAAAATGAAAAATTTTCTATCTGTAACCTCCTGGGTCAACTGGCTGTATTCTTAAGGGCGGGAATTAGAAGTTGGAAATGTAATGGTTTCTAAATGTCAGTGTTCCTGTAGGGTGGTTTATAGCTCTCTTATGAGGAAACTGGCTGTTATAATCAATAATGTGCGACTTCACGGTAATTACTGGTCAGCTACTGATCACTTTACAGTAGTCAAGGCCTGAATCTATAATGCCTTAACCAGTTATTACCTGCATGGTAAGTCTCCTGAGAAACCTATATATCATCAACTATGTTTATAATTTTGAAGTTGATGCTAGGTGAGTAATGGTTAGGGTCACCTTTTGTTCTGATAGCTTTGACTGTACTTGTTGCGCTGAAGGAAATAGATGTAGCAATTTGCAATTATTTTACTATACAACATGCACGTAAATAATGCAGAAGGAAGTTTGTGTCGTCTTCTTGGTCATCACTGCTCTGTAAAAGTCAGTTGGAAATCATTTAGGTTGCTCAGTCCTTAGTTCTTTTCCAAGTATTTTCAGCCAAATACAGGGTTGGATTCGTAGCAGTATGTTTGTAATATTAAGCCACCTGGTGTACTAGGATGTTGTGAGGATGATTAAAAATCTCATACCATTTTAAAAAAAATAATCAGATCTTCTAATTCATTCAGGATGGATTGTGTGTGGAGGTAGGGTATTACTGACTTCAGTGCTATTTATGTAATGTGTGTTTAATATTAAGGTAACTGGTCATCATTTGTGAGAAGCTAGTAATCATCTTACTTTGAAACTGAAATCTTCCCTTCATACACTATAGTATTAACTTCATGGCACTCTTAATTAAATAATAGGTCAAAAGATAATTTTTTTTGATAATTTTGTCCATGAATCCTATTAATGCTGCAATTTTGAAGAGACTAAAGTAATCCCCTCCCCCACCCCTTTTCTGACAGCGCACTGTTCAACTGTTCATGCTTTCTCTCACCGATGTGAGAGAGTAGCTTTTTACAGTAGTTTTTACAGTAGCTTTTTAGTTTTTAGTAGTAAGTAGTTTTTACAGTAGCTAAAACTCAAAATATGCAGACTAATTAAGTTTTTCTAATGGGTTTAGTCCCCATGTTGACATGGTGATTTTGACCAAACAATAACATGTTTCCTTGGTTCTGAAAAAGCTTACTGAGTGGAATGTGAGTTGTGCTCTGTGGGTTGCTGTTCATGGTGGTCAGAACAAGCTCTTTTGTAGGGCCCTTTTCCTTTATCTAGCAGTGTAAACACTTGTTCAGGCGGATGTTTAGCACCAGCCCACTCTTTCATAAGTAGTACCAAGAGCTGGATGATAAATCTGTTTTAATTTACTGTCCCTCTTAAAATGAATTTATTCTGATCTCAAATGATTTAAAAATCCAGATCAGGATGTCTGACAAATTCATGCAAATTGAGCTTTATATTCAGGTTCTGATGGCTCCTGTTCATTTAGCTGATTTAACTTGTTGCTAAACTTGACAAGGAAGTTAGTACAGGGATCAGAAATATTAAGTATTCTAAATGAAGCAGACTTTGCCATTGCTGCTACAAATAGTTGGAAAATAGCCTTTTAATGGGAGAAAAAGCATTCACATTACTCTTATTGGCTAGGGACAGACATAATTCATAAACTGGTTTAATCCTGTAACAGAACAGACATTTAGTGCACATAAACCAGTTTCAAAATGGCTGAAACTGGTTTGAGATAAACCTGGTTGAACGTAGGATCAGACTTAAGTGATTTGGCTCAAACCAGTTTACGCAATGTCTGTCCCAGACTCCTTCCTGGTTTAACTTAAACCAGAGTCCTCCAGCATCCCAGCATGCTCTCTGGGCTGTGCTCTCTGCTCCAGCCCAGCAGAGCTGCCCCTGCCCCTCTGCTCTCTAGCCCAAGCAGGGACCGGTCCTAGTGGAGACATCAGCTGACTGGCATGGCCCCATTAAGGAAATGTAGGCAGAGAGGGAGTTAATTCTTCCCTCATTTGCCTCCTCCCCCATTGCAGCTGGGGTCTGCCTGTTTGCCGGGGAGCAAAGGGGAGGGGGTTGCAGCAGTGGCCCCTGGGTCTGGCAGACCCTGGCTGCAGGGCAGAAGGAATGGAGGGAGGAATTAACCCTTCTCCCTGCCATCTTCACCTTAACAAGGCCATGCTGGGGCTGTGTTCTGTGCTGGGAGGACTCTTCCCTCCCTCCCTCCCTCTAGGGTGGGGGGCACGCTCTGTGCAGCACTGGAGGGAGATTTGTGCTCTTCCTCCCCATCTTTGCCCTTGGGTGGGGAGGGGGACTCCACGAGGCTAGAAGGGGGGCTCTATGTCAGGCTGCCCAGCCCCAGAGGGGGGCTCTTCCCCATCCTACTACCCCTTTGCCATTGTAGGATGGGGGGGAGGGGGCTCTGTGAGGCTGCCTGGGCCCAGAGAGGGGCTCTTCCCCCTGCTCCTCCTCCCATGGGGAGGGGAGGGGAGGGGGCTCTGTTCAGTGCTGGGGGGACTCTTCCCCATCCTCCCCCCACCTGCCCCTCACTGCCATGGGGTGCAGAGAGGGGGCTCTGTTCAGTGCTGGGGGGGACTCTTCCATGTCCTCCCCTCACCCCCATGGAGTGTGGAGGGGAGGGGCTGTGTGTGGTGCTCTCTGGCCCTGCCTGGCCCAGCCCAACCTGGCTCAGCGGGTGCGCAGGGAGCAGCTGTAATGGAGCTGCAGCTGCTGGGAGTGGCCCTGCCCCTGCAGCCTGGACTGGCCTGACTCAGCACAAGCCGAAGCAACTGCATGGTGTGGCCAGGCCCAGCCACGGGGGCCTGGGCCACCCCCGGCAGCTCTGGCTCAGTGACGGGGACATTAAGCCCTGTCAGAGAGTGCAGCCCAGCCCAGTCCAGCATACGGACAGTGGCTGCTAGCCGGATTGGCTCGGAGGCACCTCAGGGGCTCGTGGATCTGTAGCCAGCTCCCGTGGTGGGCAGCTGCTGGGAATGGCCCTTCCCCCATGGCCTGACCTGGCCAGACTGTGCGGCTGCTTTGGCTGGGGCTTAGTGAGGTTGGACTGGGCTGTGGGGGTGGGGTCAGCCCTGGCTCAATGACAGCAGCTCCCTGTGCCCTGTCTGGGCCAGGTCAGTGAGTGCTGCATAGAGCCCCCCCATCTCCACACCCCATGGCAGCAGGGGGCAGGGGGAGGAGGATGGGGAAGAGTCTTCCCCCAGCACTGAACAGAGCCCCCCTCCCTGCCCTGTGGGGGGAAGAGGGGAGGGAGGAGTGGGGGGTAGAGCCCCCCTCTGGGGCTGGGCAGCCTGGCATAGAGCCCCCTACTCCACCACATGGGGGGGGGGGAGAGGGCCTCTCCAGTGTTGGGCACCCTGCAAAGCCCTCCTGCCCCCACCCAATGGTGGGGGGGGGAGGAGGAGGTGGAAGAGCTCCCTCCTCACCCTGCAGCGGTTGGGGAAGAGTTCCTCTCAGGAGCTGGGCAGCTCTGTGTGCCAGGATTGCTCCTGACTGTTAAGGAGCTGCTCTCCCCTCCACCTCCTCCCCACCTCCCACAGCAGTCTGGCCATGCTCCCTCTTCCCACAACCTCTGCACTCTGCAGGCCAAGGTTGGGGTCTACTCAGGCCTGGCCATGTCCTGCCCCTAGCCCCCTAGCTCAGCTTCCCTGTGGAAGGGAGGGCTGCTCTAGCACCCCCGGGCTTCTGGCCTGAGACACTGCAGGCATATGCCTGCATTTCTGGAATGAAAAGGGAATGCCTATCCACTTGCAAACTGGTTTACTCTGTAGGTTAGACTAACCTGCAAAGATTGAATCAATTCAGGCTTGGGCTTTTGGGATGTCTGTCCCTAGCCATTAAACTTTTAGTCCTTTATTATGCAGCTTTATAAATGGAAAATGAACTGAATGCTTTTCTGTTAATTTCTTTTTTTATTGTCCAGTGTCAGGCTGTGAATGCAAACAGGGTTTGTAGACCCAGTGCTGTTCCCTGGTATGTTCAGGAAAAAATAAGTATCCCAAGATGCTCTTCCACTGATTTCTGGCTCTGTCTCTCTCTTATAACTAAAATAGGCTTAAAGATTTCAGTCTGAATTTAGCTTTGCATGATTACACTGCTGACTTGCTGTTCATGCTGGAAATCAGACAATACTATTCACTGGCTGCTTAAGAACTTGAGGAAATCCAATCGTCTAGTGGCAAAATGGATATTAGCTCACTAACCATTCCAGTAATTTTTAAGTATAAAAATTTGTATTTTTCAGGAAAGGTAAGATTCTCTATGGAAAATAATTGCCACAAGATGTCATTGAGGCCAAGAACTAAACAAGATTATTAAAAGGACACCTGATAAGAACACCCCAACTGTCCTCTAGTAGAGATAAACAAGACTGGAAAAGTGATAGGTTTACCTACTTCAGGGTATAAACTAATATCTGAGAATTTCAAAGAAACTTTTTCCATAGGTATTTAGGTATCTCCTAAATGTTGTTTTTGTCAGACTCTCTTGGTCATTCCTCTGTTTGGTACTAGATATTCTAGTGTCAGCCTACAGATAATTGTCTAACCCAAGTTCTGGTCTGATCCACTACTGAACTTTGTTCTAGGCCTCCAATAATATTCTTGGTTGTTACTCTCTTTAAATGCAGTAATGTATAAGTCCGTGTGTATATGTGTGTATCTTGGTTCTAAGTATTAGTGGTTCTTTGAGAGCAAGGGCTATTTCTTAACAGCATAATTGATGAGGGGATAATACCAGTTAAAAGAGACTTGTTTTAATCCACTCTTATAAAAAGAAAATCTGTATCTCATTGGAAATATGACTTTTGAAAAAAAAATACCATCGTTCTCTGTGCTCTTGCATAAAGAATTATTGAGATTAGGCTCTTTTGAAGATGAGGTGTTGCATATTGATTTAAACATTGGTAAGAAATTGAATGCATGAACTGATTCTCAGTTGGCTTCTGGCATGCCAAAAGAGTGCCTCTCAGATTCTGTATATATCATAAACTGG